CACACCCTTAAAAACCACCCTTGAGCACAAGTGAGGTCTGCTGCTCACTTGCGAGCGAGGGTGATCCCATAATGCATTACGATAGTTCTTGGTAAAGAGCTGTCGGGCAAAGAATGAAAGAGAACAACATTAAACACCCGGGCGCAAGTTTGTGCGGAACGGGAGGAATCTTCGAAGCGTGTGCGAGTCATTCAGAGTTTTTAATGCGTGTGTTGGTGCCGTGTGTGGTGACCTTCGCTCTCGAAGCGGCTGCAGCGTGTGGCGTTAACTGAGACTTCAGAGACGTGGATCCATGTTGTTATTACAGATCCGTGATGTAGTTCAGACTAGAGCATCGCTTTGACACAGTTTGCTTTGTGATCAGTCTGTGTGGTACGTGTCTGTGCACGTACATGTGTATGTCTCTGTATGGTACGCACGTGTGTCTGTCTGTGGTACGTCTTTGTGCGCGTATGTGTATGTACATGTGTCTGTCTGTTTTTGTACATGCGTGTGTCCGCCTCTGTGTGTGTAAATGTGTGTCTGAGTGCGTGTTGTGCAGCAGTTCTGTACCTAATTATAGCAAATCTACATATGAAATAGAATTAAAAACGTCTCATTTTAATAAATACTGCGTTTCATAAAGTCATGTGTCAGATCTTATCTGTGGTTAAATCAGACACATTGATAATGTGTGTGACGTGGAATACTTTTGCTATGTCAGTTGCATATTGTCCCCTAGATCTAGGGGTGTCCCAATTCTTAGGGAGAATATCCCGTGAGTGCACTCCCTTAAGGGAAGGCACTTTTCTGGTGAGGGCACTCACACCTGGAGGGCCCTCAGAATCGGGACTGGGCCTTAAAACTTATAGCTTAGCTGCCACTTCCTGATTATTTTTTAGTGTGTGGTTATTTTTTAGAACTTAACCCCCATGACAAAGGAGGGGGACCACCCTATTTAACAACCAAGTAGCTTATCAGAAGTGACACATATCTGTTCCCACATGCTATTCGCTGGCCGAAGACCAATTCAGGAGTGAATGCAAAAAAGTAAAATCTTTATTTTATTTCCTGATTTTCCTCAAAGTCACCAATGGCTGACTTTGCCTGTCAAAATATTTTATCTTTCTGCTCAATATACAAGTTTCAAAACAATTTTCAATTTGTTTCCACCATTACGTATTATAAAAGTCTTATACAGACTGTGCTGATATTGCAAGCATAATTCATTTGCTGCTAGAACTCTCACAATATCATTCGATTACACAATTTTCATTTTTTTTTGCAAATTCCATTTATTTAAAAGCAGATTATTTCTTAAATTAGATCTATTGCCCAGCCCTAGATGGATACATGGTGGGTGACAAATAGGGCTGGGCGATTAATCAATTTTAATCATTAATTCGAGTTTTACGTTTAGGGCGATTTCTTTTTTTAAAAATTCGATTTTTATTTTCTCCATCGCAGAACTACAGCGCTAACGCGCTAACCGCGGGTCTATGGTGTTGAGCAGTCATTTTGAAGCTAACCTAATGCTAACAGTCTCCCTCTGGCCTGATGCTCGCTCTCACAGTTGGTGCTGTTGCAATAACACTTCAAACATTCAAGAATCAGACTTTATTTAATCGCCAAAACACACACACACACACACGCACGCAAGCCCCGGTCGCTATGTTCGTACGCCATGTTCGTACGCCATGTTCGTACGCCACATCTTTCACGCTCTCTCACGCTCGTTATTCCAAAGCGCACTCCCGTGTCCGTGGCGCGCACACACTCGTGTCCCACTGAGCCGCTGCACTTTGGGGAAAGACACGTCTCACACATTGTTCTCATTGCTCTGATACAAACAACGTGTTCCCCGCTGTCCGTTAGCTACAGTAGCTGCTACAGTAGCTGTTAGCTACAGCATCAGAATGTAAACAGGAAGCTTAGCTCGCACAATGCGGGAGTCACTGAAGTTAGTATTAGCGCCACCAGCTGGACCGAGCGTTGTACTACAGCACAGTTACTCAGGCACAGTTGAAAGAACAAGCATGAAAACCCGAGGAGGCTTTAGGAAAAGATTGTTACAACATTTCTATTTTGAGTAATCAGTTTTAAAAATGTGATTTCATGTAAATAATGCATGTGTTTAATAGGATTGATATATTTGCGATGGGCCTTGTTTGTGTGATTTAAGTTATTTTGAAGGTGCATAGTGTCATTGTAAGTGAAGTTATTATAAAACTGTTAAGCTACATTTTCACTGTTTACAATGGCAGAGCCATCTCGTTTACAAGCATGTTTTAAGGCTTAATTCCTGTTACACTTATGCTCCATGGGGATTTAGATTAAACTGCATAAAGGAAAATCTATTTCTTTGTCAGTTGTAGTTTGTTTTTAAATAGAAAAAAAATAAATCGATTTAAAATCGAAAATCGGATTTGGTGTGAAAAAATCGGAGATTTTTTTTTTTTGCCATATCGCCCAGCCCTAGTGACAAAGTTCATATATTTTTCATGAGTGAGGGGGACGGTGCGGGAGATTGACAGACGCAACAACTTCAGTGATGCAGAACCCATATCGGACTTTTGTGTAGAGGAAGGTGAGTCAAAAGGCGAAGCTCTCGAGTTACTGGTCAATCTACAATCCCACCCTCGCCATGTTTGCCTAGACGTGTTCTTTTGACAGAAAGGAGTTTGCGGATAGTGTGGAAGTGGTTGAAATTAGTTTGTTTTGGACACATTGTTTTTTCGCAACTTGCAGCTGGCCCAGGATCTCTTTGGTGTTCTCCTAGATGAGCTGGAGGAAGTTTGTGTGGATGGATAAGTCTGGGTGCTTTTACGTCGACTGCTGCCCAGTGGGGGTGGGTCCCTGCTTAAAAAGTTCCATGTGTACGCGCTCTGACGTGCCTTGCAATCTGGCTCCTTGCCTGTGATTGCGCACACGGAAACAGAATTATCCAATGCATTTCTAAAAAATGGCTTTATGGCCTGGTCCAAAAGTCAGCCCCACGTGAATGATACGTTTACTGTAGTCCATTATAATGTAATTTCCCTGTGATCCTGGGTGCTTGTGCTGTAAATTTGTGAATGACTCATTTTCAAGTTTTTCTATTGTTAACACCATAAGAACAAAATAAACATGTTGTATTGTTGCGGAATGCAGAAACCTTTGTCATGCTTTTTAAAAGCCAGTTAACCTTAGTCAAAACTAAAGGTCTTCTCTAATGTAAAGCTGTAACAAGTTTAATTGATTAGTTGCAAGTTTAATTATGTTAAAAGTTGTCAACCTATTTAATTTTCTTTTTTCTAACCTTTACATTGGTACAATCATGCTTAGTACTTTTAATCAATCACAAGCTCTGGTAAAAACAAAGCCGTTTTTCTTGTTAGACGTTTGTCAGATCAGTCTGTATGAGCAAATATCCCAAAACCACTTTGTGATTATACAGAAGTTATCAGGTTGAGATAAATGCTGTCATGAAAGCCTACCTTTTGAACCTTGAGTGCAAGATTTCAAGACAAAAGTTTCAAGTCAAGATTTTGGGTTTATGAAACATTTATGTTCATGAAATGTAGATTATTTTGATTTACTGTAGAGCAATATTTATAGTACAAATGAATGCAAAATGTCACATAAACAGAAGGATGAGCTTTCCCATGCCGTGTTTCTTTTTGCTGATTGTCAAAGGAGAAAGGTGATGCTGATAACTGCCAAGTCGTTCTATAAAGTCACATTGTGATATATCAGCCATATCGCCCAGCCCTATATTTTGGCCTTTATCTGGATACCAGTGGAAATGAGGGTAGGGCTGTTGCAGTAATACTGCTGTACCCAGCTCCAACTCTTACCTTGACTGTTACCAACCAGTTTCATTCTTTGGTGATAAAATATATCACACTTTGCCTTGTTCAACTATTGATGATTTGGTCACTTGTTCAGAGTTTTTTACAGAAATGGTAGCATGCGTTCATCCATGTATATTTTGGCCGATACAGTCATCCTGCTCTGCTGTATTATTAGACAACATCCAACATGAGTTTACAGCCGCGGAGACGGTGAAGAACGGAATTGACGCCTGGCCATTGTTTGTGTCGACACTGTCCCAGTTCCTGCTCTTGTGTTTACTTTTGCTGACCAATCAGATCATGCCAAAGGGGAAACTTGCTGAGGAGTGAAGCAGCAGGCTGCATTTGCAGAAGTAACGCAGTTTTAAAAAATAATTTCTTATTGGTGTGTCAGATTTTCTTCATTGTACAGATGCCAATATACGGGTTTTGGCCAGATATTGACACCGGGTTGAACGGTTTTTCCTTTTTATATTTTCACAATATCACTGCGCTCATGACCTTTGAAGCTCCATTGTACAATGCTTTGCGATGTGGGCATCTTAGTCTTCGCTATCCCAGACACGGCATGGTGATAAGTTTACAGTCTGATCAACCCTTGTTCAAAGCCCCTAAAAGATTCCTGGCACATGGACTGGTTTTAAGGCTCATAAGAGTTTTCATTGAGCTTACAATTTGCATTGCTTGACCTTGGTTGATATGTATACATTTATATTATGAAACTGATTGATTTGTGTAAGTTTGAACTGTAAAACCAGTGTGATTGGTGCAAGGCTCCAGACTTTTTGGGATGTTTCACTGATGGGCCTTTTTAATACAGCACTGAACTGGAAAATACATTAAATGTTTTGTGCACCTAAAGCAAACATTTTTAGATAATATTAAAGTATTCACTACTAGCTTTAAATGGAAAAATGAGTTTATTTGGTTGATTTTTACATAGATTATGCTTGTGTGACTGTAATTTATCACATTATGTGAGCAGTCTTCATCGCATCCTACGTATTCCATAAATCAGCAATTGTCTATTGTAACAAGCTCTGTGCGCTAAAACCAAGACTTAAAACTAAGTCTAAAACATTAAGTTTTTATTTGGCACATGTATATAGGCCAAAAAATGTAAGGTTTTCTTGTAATTCTCAAAATGTATGGTTTGCATACAGTGAAACTTTAGTATCTGTTGTGATTATGTATGACTCCAATGTGAGTGAAGTAAAGGCCTGTCTGTGTAGATATTCCCTCATCCCCAATATTGTTCACATCCTGAATTATATTGCCATGGCTGACGGTCTAAACAATGTCTTCCACTCTTGCTGATGAGAGGAAACGTAAAAATGCTGATAATGGGTAATATTGATTCAGATGAAGCTGCATCTATTTAAATTCTTTGTGATAAACTCGAGTGGAGCAGCTTTGTCACTTGAACTGGTTAGAATGTGCAAACAATGTATAAGGCAACTTTAATTATCAAAGATGGTTGACAACTATTTTGCTAATCAATTTTATTGATTAGGTGTGCCCTTTTACTGGCTCTTTGGGCCATGGTGGAGCCCTACTTCTTATTTTCCATCTTGCTTTCTCCTGATTCTGGCCCAGTCTGTCCACCGGGATCTGAGCGAGAGCCAGTGGTTTTTCCAATACCACATGCTAATGGCAGGGAACAGATTGGATAAACACAGTCCTTTTTCCTGCTGACCCATCCCCTCCTCCTCCAACGCCACACAGCATGCACTCGGCACACACACTGTCCATTAACGAAGCAGCCGTGCGTAAAATAACCAGATTTTCTTGAGCTTCAGTGACTCGCTCTTTCTTGCCTTTACTTTTGATACCCCCACCCTTTGCTCCCCCTTCCCCTTCTCTCTTCCTTCCGGGCCCAAATCCTAGCCCCAGACACGAGGCTTGCATCCCCTACACTTGAGCATAATTACACACACAGCTCAAGCTCCCCGCGCGCTGTCCTCCATTTGCGAACAAAGGTATAAATTATAGTGGGTTTAGATCCTGGGTGATTTTGTGGAGGTGGGTGGCTGCACACGTGTGCACCGAAAGAGAAAAAGCCCCCAGCTCGCTAACCACTTGAAGGTTGCCTTGTACTACAGAGCTGTTGGGTTGACTTTTGTTGTCTCCTTTCTTGGTGTGAGCGGAGCTAAGGGGAAGCGTGGCAGTGTTGACATGGCAGAGATTTCCTGTAGTAAAGCCTGGAGGCTACAGACAGTTCAGCTGCCAAAGTCTCAACAGCAGACTCCTGCCCTGTTCTGCTTCCGTGGAGTTGCTTTAAGACAATTTTAAAATATCAAATTTGTTGGTTGCTCTTATGTTGTGTAGTTTTTTGTTAACACAAACGGTAAAAGATGATCAATTAAACCACATGCTTTTAACCTTTTTACAACAACCGGCGCGCCGGCGGCCGTTTTTGTTTTTAAATGTTCTGCTGGCAATAGCAGATGTATTTTGAACACCAAACCCCAAAAGCTGTAGGTCTCTCCCTGGTCTCTCTCCCTGGTCTCTCTCCCTGGTCTCTCTCTCCCTGGTTCTCTCTCTCTCTCTGGTCTCTCTCCCTGGTCTCTCTCCCTGGTCTCTCTCTCCCTGGTCTCTCTCCCTGGTCTCTCTCCCTGGTCTCTCTCTCCCTGGTCTCTCTCTCTGGTCTCTCTCCCTGGTCTCTCTCCCTGGTCTCTCCCTGGTCTCTCCCTGGTCTCTCTCCCTGGTCTCTCCCTGGTCTCTCTCTCCCTGGTCTCTCTCCCTGGTCTCTCTCCCTGGTCTCTCTCCCTGGTCTCTCTCCCTGGTCTCTCCCTGGTCTCTCTCCCTGGTCTCTCTCCCTGGTCTCTCTCCCTGGTCTCTCTCCCTGGTCTCTCCCTGGTCTCTCCCTGGTCTCTCTCTCTCTGGTCTCTCCCTGGTCTCTCTCCCTGGTCTCTCTCCCTGGTCTCTCCCTGGTCTCTCTCTCCCTGGTCTTCTCTCCCTGGTCTCTCTCCCTGGTCTCTCTCCCTGGTCTCTCTCCCTGGTCTCTCTCCCTGGTCTCTCTCCCTGGTCTCTCCCTGGTCTCTCCCTGGTCTCTCTCTCTCTGGTCTCTCTCTGGTCTCTCCCTGGTCTCTCCCTGGTCTCTCTCCCTGGTCTCTCTCCCTGGTCTCTCTCTCCCTGGTCTCTCTCTCTCTGGTCTCTCTCCCTGGTCTCTCTCCCTGGTCTCTCTCTCCCTGGTCTCTCTCCCTGGTCTCTCTCTCCCTGGTCTCTCTCTCTGGTCTCTCTCCCTGGTCTCTCTCCCTGGTCTCTCCCTGGTCTCTCCCTGGTCTCTCTCCCTGGTCTCTCCCTGGTCTCTCCCTGGTCTCTCTCTCCCTGGTCTCTCTCCCTGGTCTCTCTCCCTGGTCTCTCTCCCTGGTCTCTCTCCCTGGTCTCTCCCTGGTCTCTCTCTCTCTGGTCTCTCCCTGGTCTCTCTCCCTGGTCTCTCTCCCTGGTCTCTCTCTCTCCCTGGTCTCTCTCTCTCTGGTCTCTCTCCCTGGTCTCTCTCTCTCTGGTCTCTCTCCCTGGTCTCTCTCCCTGGTCTCTCTCCCTGGTCTCTCTCTCCCTGGTCTCTCTCTCTCTGGTCTCTCTCCCTGGTCTCTCTCCCTGGTCTCTCTCCCTGGTCTCTCCCTGGTCTCTCCCTGGTCTCTCCCTGGTCTCTCTCCCTGGTCTCTCTCCCTGGTCTCTCCCTGGTCTCTCTCTCCCTGGTCTCTCCCTGGTCTCTCTCTCTGGTCTCTCTCCCTGGTCTCTCCCTGGTCTCTCTCCCTGGTCTCTCTCCCTGGTCTCTCCCTGGTCTCTCTCCCTGGTCTCTCTCCCTGGTCTCTCTCCCTGGTCTCTCTCCCTGGTCTCTCTCCCTGGTCTCTCTCTCCCTGGTCTCTCCCTGGTCTCTCCCTGGTCTCTCTCCCTGGTCTCTCTCCCTGGTCTCTCTCCCTGGTCTCTCTCCCTGGTCTCTCTCTCCCTGGTCTCTCCCTGGTCTCTCTCTCTCTGGTCTCTCCCTGGTCTCTCTCTCCCTGGTCTCTCCCTGGTCTCTCTCCCTGGTCTCTCTCCCTGGTCTCTCCCTGGTCTCTCTCCCTGGTCTCTCTCCCTGGTCTCTCTCTCTCTGGTCTCTCTCCCTGGTCTCTCTCCCTGGTCTCTCTCCCTGGTCTCTCTCCCTGGTCTCTCTCCCTGGTCTCTCTCCCTGGTCTCTCTCTCTGGTCTCTCTCCCTGGTCTCTCCCTGGTCTCTCTCCCTGGTCTCTCTCCCTGGTCTCTCTCCCTGGTCTCTCCCTGGTCTCTCTCCCTGGTCTCTCTCCCTGGTCTCTCTCTCTCTGGTCTCTCTCCCTGGTCTCTCTCTCTGGTCTCTCTCCCTGGTCTCTCTCTCTGGTCTCTCTCCCTGGTCTCTCTCCCTGGTCTCTCTCCCTGGTCTCTCCCTGGTCTCTCTCCCTGGTCTCTCTCCCTGGTCACTCTCCCTGGTCTCTCCCTGGTCTCTCTCCCTGGTCTCTCTCCCTGGTCACTCTCCCTGGTCTCTCCCTGGTCTCTCTCCCTGGTCTCTCTCCCTGGTCACTCTCCCTGGTCTCTCCCTGGTCTCTCCCTGGTCTCTCTCCCTGGTCTCTCTCCCTGGTCTCTCTCCCTGGTCTCTCTCCCTGGTCTCTCTCCCTGGTCTCTCTCCCTGGTCTCTCTCCCTGGTCTCTCTCTCTGGTCTCTCTCCCTGGTCTCTCCCTGGTCTCTCTCCCTGGTCTCTCTCTCCCTGGTCTCTCTCCCTGGTCTCTCCCTGGTCTCTCTCCCTGGTCTCTCTCCCTGGTCTCTCTCTCTCTGGTCTCTCTCCCTGGTCTCTCTCTCTGGTCTCTCTCCCTGGTCTCTCTCTCTGGTCTCTCTCCCTGGTCTCTCTCCCTGGTCTCTCTCCCTGGTCTCTCCTGGTCTCTCTCCCTGGTCTCTCTCCCTGGTCACTCTCCCTGGTCTCTCCCTGGTCTCTCCCTGGTCTCTCTCCCTGGTCTCTCTCCCTGGTCACTCTCCCTGGTCTCTCCCTGGTCTCTCTCCCCTGGTCTCTCTCCCTGGTCTCTCTCCCTGGTCTCTCTCCCTGGTCTCTCTCCCTGGTCACTCTCTCTGGTCTCTCTCTCTGGTCTCTCTCCCTGGTCTCTCTCCCTGGTCTCTCTCCCTGGTCTCTCCCTGGTCTCTCTCCCTGGTCTCTCTCCCTGGTCACTCTCCCTGGTCTCTCCCTGGTCTCTCTCCCTGGTCTCTCTCCCTGGTCACTCTCCCTGGTCTCTCCCTGGTCTCTCTCCCTGGTCTCTCTCCCTGGTCACTCTCCCTGGTCTCTCCCTGGTCTCTCTCCCTGAGTATCCATTATCTCAGGGCGTGAGTGCAGTCTCTCTCCTCAGAGTCTGCACCTGTCACCTTTAATCCTCACTGACAGAGACTTCAGCTCTGAGAAAACATCACAAACATCTGGGGTCAGAGGTCAGAGCTAAAGCTTTCTCTCGATCACAGACGACTCAAAGAACCAGAGGGAAACACGGAAAACCATCAGTGAAGCACAAATACCATGAAATGAAGCTTAAGAGCACATACAGACTGGAAGACTGCTCACAGTCCTCCTGCTGTCGCCCCTAGCAACAGCACCTGTCAATCACACTCAGCTTCAGCTCAACACTGCCCTCGTCTGGCAGCATCAGGCATTGCACACATCAGCTTCATATCGCACTGAAGCTCCATCCAAGCAGCAGCTTTACTCACGCCGCAACCCTCCTCCTCCCCATCTCTGCCTCGTTCGACACCACCTTCTTCATCCTTCTCCTAAACTCCAACCACCAGGGTCTAGGCCCCGGAGGACCACCACCAGGGTCTAGGCCCCGGAGGACCACCACCACCAGGGTCTAGACTTTAGGGGATTTCATCTCTGTCCCCTTCTGCAGGTCTCTGTCGGGGTCTCAGGCCAAATACTAACCATATTCTGTACAACAACAATAAATGTAATCCTCAGAGTTATATGTGTGTAATGTATGTAGTGTTCCAGTCTCTGTTTAGACACCAGGACAGACACCAGGACAGACACCAGGACAGACACCAGGACAGACACCAGGACAGACACCAGGACAGACACCAGGACAGACACCAGGACAGACACCAGGAGAGACACCAGGACAGACACCAGGACAGACACCAGGACAACACCAGGACAGACACCAGGACAGACACCAGGACAGACACCAGGACAGACACCAGGACAGACACCAGGACAGACACCAGGACAGACACCAGGACAGACACCAGGACAGACACCAGGAGAGACACCAGGACAGACACCAGGACAGACACCAGGACAACACCAGGACAGACACCAGGACAGACACCAGGACAGACACCAGGACAGACACCAGGACAGACACCAGGACAGACACCAGGACAGACACCAGGAGAGACACCAGGACAGACACCAGGACAGACACCAGGACAGACACCAGGACAGACACCAGGACAGACACCAGGAGAGACACCAGGACAGACACCAGGACAGACACCAGGACAGACACCAGGACAGACACCAGGACAGACACCAGGAGAGACACCAGGAGAGACACCAGGACAGACACCAGGACAGACACCAGGACAGACACCAGGACAGACACCAGGAGAGACACCAGGAGAGACACCAGGACAGACACCAGGACAGACACCAGGACAGACACCAGGACAGACACCAGGACAGACACCAGGACAGACACCAGGACAGACACCAGGACAGACACCAGGACAACACCAGGACAGACACCAGGACAGACACCAGGACAGACACCAGGACAGACACCAGGACAGACACCAGGACAGACACCAGGACAGACACCAGGACAGACACCAGGACAGACACCAGGACAGACACCAGGACAGACACCAGGACAACACCAGGACAGACACCAGGACAGACACCAGGACAGACACCAGGACAGACACCAGGACAGACACCAGGACAGACACCAGGACAGACACCAGGACAGACACCAGGAGAGACACCAGGACAGACACCAGGACAGACACCAGGACAGACACCAGGACAGACACCAGGACAGACACCAGGACAGACACCAGGACAGACACCAGGACAGACACCAGGACAGACACCAGGACAGACACCAGGACAGACACCAGGACAGACACCAGGACAGACACCAGGACAGACACCAGGACAGACACCAGGACAGACACCAGGAGAGACACCAGGACAGACACCAGGACAGACACCAGGACAGACACCAGGGACAGACACCAGGACACCAGGACAGACACCAGGACAGACACCAGGACAGACACCCAGGACAGACACCAGGGAGACACCAGGACAGACACCAGGACAGACACCAGGACAACACCAGGACCAGACACCAGGACAGACACCAGGAGAGACACCAGGACAGACACCAGGACAGACACCAGGACAGACACCAGGACAGACACCAGGACAGACACCAGGACAGACTACCAGGAAGAGACACCAGGACAGACACCAGGACAGACACCAGACACCACCAGAGACAGACACCAGGACAGACACCAGGGACAGGGACACAGGACAGACACCAGGACAAACACCAGGACAGCACCAGGACAGACACCAGGACGACACCAGGACAGACACCAGGAGAGGCACACCACAGACACCAGGACAGACACCAGGACAGACACCAGGACCAGCGAGGACAGACACCAGGACGAACACACCAGGACAGACACCAGGACAAACACCAGGACAGAATAAATGTTTTATTATATGACTATTTTTAATTTATGCAAATATCGATCTCAGACTTGGTTTTCCTAATGCTGTTTTTAGCTTTCTGGTCTGCAACGAAGTTGTCAATCTCATCTTGTCTGTTAGTTATTTTTTCTTCGTTATTTTCTGTAATTTCTTCCTCTGGCTCGTATGCTCTGTTCGGACCAATTGTCATGGTAACGGTCTGAGATGGGAAAGTATCAGACCGGTAATCAGCCAATCAGAGCGCGCGTACGGTCCAAGTCATATAATAAATGAAATTATCACTTTGTTTCTTCTGTGAAAAAAATAAATAAAGTCTAAATCAAACGTGAATCTGAAAATATTTAACAAACTTCCACAAAGCTCATTCCGCCAAATCATCACGGCTGTCTCATAAAAGAAACAGGGCCGCTATAGGAAACTTGACTAATGTATAAAACAGTTATGTTCTAGGAACTTCTAAAGGACAGAGAAGTTGTCCATTAGAGTGACATAATGCATCTTCTGATTATTAAAATCTAATTTTTGGCCTTTTGTCACACTTTTGTACCCTTTAGTGTGAACAAACCCATATAGCACAGAAAACGCTGAAGCCCGTTAGGCTTTGTATGTTCTAAATAAAATTTGTAATGCCATTTCACTCTTCCATCTACATTTAATTAATTTTTTCAAGAGTGAAGGTCGGGTCCAGATTTGATGCTATGGCATTTCTGCTGCTAATGACCACGATACTGCTCTCCTGTCTGAGCTCAGAGGTTGTTTATGGTTCAGGGAGATCTGGAAGAAAGCCCTTGTTAACCACCATTTACACAACAACAGACAGAGGGCTGCTGCTCGCCCTGAAGAGGCTCCCACAGAGCGCCCTGAGGCTGCAGGAAGATTGTTTTACTGTAATCTTCTGTCATGCTAATGGGAGCCCAGTTGCCTTCCCACTCACTCAATGGCTATTCTGTACTGCCCACAATGAGCCACTTTTAATTTTCAGCTCAACACTGTCCAATGAGCAACTGCAATTGTTTTTAAGTTTTCTTTTGGTGTGGATATTGTATACCAGCCATAGACAAGCCACAAGGCATTTTGAAAAATAAGGCTGAAAAAAGTTGTGGAGTGTTTTGGCTCTACTCGTCCCCAACTTTGTCTATCTCCCACACTTGGCCCCACTCACTCCTACTTGCATTTCCAGTACAAACCAAATTTGTTAAGTGCGACTTTGGTCTGTAAACTGCATTATATAAATAAAGATTACTTGCTTACTTATGCTGGTGCTTTGTAGCTATGTGTGGATGCGGGGGGAAACGCTGCTAGTTTTGGTACTTATTGAGCTGAACCAAATTTGTGATGGTCTGGATCTCTGTAACGAGCTGTCCATGGTTCGTCATGTTGGTTCATATTTGATTGGACTGCTAAAGAGTCAACAGTATTGAATATGTCACAATCTAGCTGTTACGATATGAGTGTTCACAGTTAAGTGTCAATTGAAGTATCTCGACTTTAAAAGGTTATAACTTAAAAACTAAAATTACTATCATAGATTGGAAAAAAGATTTCAAACACAGACAGATCAAAGAGATAGTGTGGATAAAATCAAAAGGAAAGATTGTCAAATATATTTTTGGTGACATTTTAAACGACAAAATCAGCCTCTTTTTTGACCATTCTACTGTGACGCCAGTTACATAGAAAATAAAATGTCCTCAGTCTGAAAAAGCGGCAGATGAAATCCCACAATATTTACATGGTTAACACAACATCAGGAAATCACTTGATATGAAAAGGAATCGTTAAAAAATAATAAATTAAATGACCCTTGAAAAATGTATAACGGACGTGATGGTTTCCGTCCTCTTTTCTCTAAAATTTAAACTTGAGAAAGAAAAAAAATCTTGTCTGGTTTCACATTTAATTGGTTGACAATATGAAAGTATCACTTTATACTCTACATCTGAAAATACCTATCAAACTTCCGCAAAGCTCATTCCGTCAAATCATCACGTCCGTTAGATAAAATAATCAGGGCCGCTAAAGGAAACTTGTCTAATGTATAAAACAGTTATGTTCTAGCAACTTCTAAAGGACAGAGGAGGTGCTTGGAAACATGAAAAACATAAAATATCTTATGATTATTAAAATCTAATTTTTGGCCTTTTGTCACACTTTTGTGCCCTTTAGTGTGAACAAGCCCATATAAAAGTGGCATGTATCTGTAAAAAAAGAAAAAGCAAGCTAGATTTTATTACCATAGATTCATAATTCTGCAAAATGCAACAAATGACAAAGGTGGAGAGCAGCAAAATAAATACACTCCCCATGAAGCTCCTGCGGATTATTTTAGTTTTTAACCGTGCAACTTTTAGGTCAGATGTATGGAAACAGTTTGGTTTCTTGTGAGAAGACGCTACAGAAGTAATAAGCATTTAATACTAAGTTGTCATGATGCATAAATATTACAATAAAGGGCCTGGTGTCTGGCAAAAGAAATGTATGTCCGTTTCATTGTCATCATAAACACAAATATAGTACAAATATATATTACAAATATATCAATCTCGGAAGGTTTACAATTTGGATATTGTGAAGTCAATTACAGGAAACGGGAAGTGTCTTACTGCATATAAAATGACAAATATTAGTGTGCACTTGCTTGTGCTTTTTCTCACAGTAAATAAATGACTAGTCATATTTTTTGCGCCATCTTTTATACCAACCGCATCACGTCTGCATTATGTCTGATGTATATCTATTTGTCGGACAGCCAACTCAATATTTATGGCTATAACACTGAACTGTGAAAAATGCACAGAAATGGAACTGTTTCCACAATGGATGTCATCCTCTCGTCTTTTCTGTAATACAAAGTAATTCTAATTGTTGAATGCTGTCAGAAAACCTCACGAAGTTAATTCACAGCCATGTAATGTTAAGCAGATACAAGTTGAACTATAGTGGGGGATGCACTGCTTTTAATTTTCATCCACTTCATGCAACAAAAATCATGAATCCTGCCCATATTACAAACTTTGGCCATGTTGTTGACACTTCTGCACCATGTCCTGCGCCTCATCCTTTCCCCAAACACATGTCTGTCTCTTTGTATTCATTCTGATGCACGGGGAGTTATGAAAACCTGAAAATGGTTAAGAATATTTTCGACTTGAGGTACTGGTAATCACAAACTCACATGGCTCGATCCAGGTGGAAATTAGAGTGGTGTCCTTATGGTGCTTTCAGACCGGCAACGCTGAAACGCTGAAGCCCTGCTCACCAGACGCGCATTCTCTATTTTTCAGATTCATGGGTCTTCACACAGAGATGTCCTGACGCGCACTGGAAGTCATGGAAGTAGCCGGCCGGCTCTGATGCTAACAGAGTTTAGCTAGCGGCTTCTTGTGTACAGATCTTCTCCAATATGCAGCTTTGCAGCGTGTCTTTGAACAGAGACCTTCCACGGGCTTTATATAACAGTAGTATGTGTTCACGGAGGTGCGCCATACGTGTTTTCATATTATTAAACGGTATTTCCGCATCGGCGAACACACTCGAAGCAGTTGCATAAGGTCACGGGAGCATGACAGCGCATATATTCACAAGCAGAGTCCCCCATTGTCAACCCTGGTTTGAGTTCTGGTGAAGCCTGGTGTGGGTCCTGTTTTGGCTGTTTATGAGTATTTTCAGTCTGCTCGCTCAGTCCGCTTATGTCCCCGTGACCACTTTGCGGCTCTCTGATTGGTTGTCGCATGAACGTCCCAAGGAAAGGATGAGCAGAATCCATCTCCTGTGGGCGTAGATTTTTCGCTCCTGCTCCTCCCCTTTGACTTTCCCGCCAAGTCCGTGCGTGTCTACTGAACAGTCCGTCCGTGCGTGCCGAGAGGTCCTCGGTGACCTCTCGTCACCATTGACTTTGCATTAAAAGCCGACGCAACGCATGATCCGGTCTGAAAGCACCATTAAAGACACTGCCGTGCCCAAAACGCAGGTTTTTGGCTTATAAAAGCTAATATAAAAACGCAATGACAAATGTAAAACACAAAGGAAGAGTCCTCACTTTACACCAAACAAAGTAATGCTAATGATCTCTCAAGCTTGTTGCATACATGAACTTATTTACCCGTTGTGACCGTACGTTCAATGTATTTCTTCTTTTAAACTTTTATTTTTTACAATATTGTGACGCTCTACCAGCATAGATGGATGTTTTGTTCAGACAAATGCCATGAACTGTTCCAAAACTTCTACATCAAATGTAGAGTGTAGTTTAAGCACATTCAGCTGCACTTCAAAGTGTACACACCCAGGCAGCGCATCTCATTGTTTTGGTCATATTTTAGAATGAATAACAAATGAATGGTACATAAGAATGAATGGTAACTTATAATTGCTACTGATAAATGTCACGATACAAGGCACATTTCTTGCCTACATTTTAGAATGACTTAGAAGAATAGAGAAAGTAACTTGAGTGAGGGAGGAGGATTTGTAGCAGAAGTTTCCCCACACAACAAATGGGCTTTTGGACTAAATTATTCTTTTTTATAGCTTCAATTGGGCATTTTTACACTTCATCGCCTCTGTTGTCTGGTGTCAAAGCCCCTAAAGTAGTTAGACAAAAATGGGTGTATGACTGTTCAAGCTGCTGTGATGCCCCATTGGCGCTCCCTCTGATTGGTTGGTGGACATGTTAGCTGAGAGGAGTGATGAGGTTTGTTCGACTGAAAATCTCTGGAGGTGGGCTGGATGGCAGCTGCTGCTGTTCAAACATAGTTGCATCTGCTGAGGTCTTTGTTCTAACACATACTTCGTCTCACTCAATGACTCGGCCTGTGTTGGAAAGAGAACTTCTTTTGTTTGGTGGGAAAATACTGTGGAGGAGGGGGTAAAGATGAGATGTGCATGTTCTGCAGTCTACATGGGCTTTTATTTGTTCAAACCACTTTTACTGCTCTGAATGTTATTTGAGTGAACAATTGTAAAAAACAAAGTAAAAGTATGGTTTAGTTGAATAATAAAGTGATGTATGAGCATACTGTGTCCCAAACTGATGCAGTACTGTCCCCATTTAGAAAATTTTCATGTGAGATACTGTTTGCCCAATTCTTAGGCGGTTTTAATTATAACCTAGGCTGCCATTGATATCTAAAAAGTAGAAATTCCCAATTGATAAATTTGATATGACTGCGTTATCCGTGATAAAAGAATGTTTCCATGTAGTATCCGAAGTAGATTTTCACAAACCTGTGAGCGGTGTTGAAGCTTATTGGCTTCTGTCTGTCATGTGCACACATATGCGGCCATACCCACTACCCCTGACCCGCGACAAAAACGCATCTGCTACGCTGAACAGACTTGCGTTCCTCGTCCTGCATGCATAAATTCACACAGAGTTGTAGCAAAGCTATAACCTTTTTATAAATGTTATATTAAATGATTGTGCTCTAAGCTTGCATGGCGAAAAAAATGCTGAGGCCTTGAATAGGAGATAGCGATTGATGTATAGGGTACCCCTGGTCTACAGCATCGATCTGAGCCACTGCTGCCCTGTAGAAGCAAATTTACAGGGCAGGGCTCGACATTAACAGTTGTCCGCTTGCCCGAGGCAACTAAAGATATGGGACGGACAAGTTTGCAGTCTTCTCAAGTTGCCAGATCGTGAAAGTGATGTTTAGCTCACGCTAGTATTACTGTAACCCATTCAGGCCGACATTACTACCTCGAGAGCTGGGGCGGACACGTCTGTTCATCTTTTTGTGACTACTTCTCTTCATTGGCAAATTAAAATGAAATGCACCAGGATAAACCAGGAATGAACATTTTCTGCGGATCCACAATTTCAGACTTTCTCTCGCTTAAAATGTAATTTCTGTGAAATGTGTGACTGTGGGCACCTTCTGTTTTTTGCTGTACATTCTCTTAGCAAGATTCACACTCTCCGCTCTGACCTTGGGGCACCCGTGACCGCTTTGTGCTGACAGCCGCTTTGACAACAGCTCATCTGTAACGTGGTACTGAGCGCCGACCATAGACGCACGGACAAAATCATAGACTCATGTTCAGGACCATCTCCAACTTGTTGCAAACTTGCGGGTGTCCCCCCGGGTCTCTCCCGTGTTTCTCCAGTGCCTCCTCCCAAAGCGCAACCAAAACTCTCGAAATTAAAGCTCTGATACCTACATTTTCCCCATGCATTAACAATGAGCCTAATAAACAAAACAATTTACTTTGTGCACTAAAGTAAAATGTTGTGAACAAATCAAACAGAACACACAACAAGCCATTTTTTATTTTTTTTATTTTGAATACTTAAGAGCCCTTTAAGTCATTTGACTTTTTGGAGAGTGGATTTTTAATATATTTTTCCACACAGTTAGTGCCACTTTATTGCCAAACTCTTGTTAACTCATTGTATTGAGAGATATTTGGGCAAGTAATTTTTGACATTGGGCAAGTAAAATGGGAATGGTTCTTGCCCAAAGGGTAAGTGGCTGACAAAGCTTAATGTCAAGGCCTGCAGGATCATCCTTGTCATTGAATATTTAAGTTTGACCATAATAATAATGTTTGATCATTGTTAATATTAATTATTCTGACAGGTCTATGTGAAACAGACAAAAGATAGAGCCCTGAAACAAACCAAAGTACTATGGAGGCCAGTGTGCTGCCCTTGAGTACCTAAATAAATATCATCTAGAAGTGCATCTGAAGTGTTTACATTGTTTATTAGGCTCATATTCATGTTTTTTTGTCATATTATTTAAAATACTTTTTTTTACTTATTCACAGGAACCTGAATCAAGAACATGGATTAACATTTGCTGTTGACGACTCCTCTGCCCATCACACTTCTCACAGCCCCACCTGCGGGCCGTCATGGCGGACCCAGGGATGTTGAGTTTGTTTGGGGATGATGCGGGGCTGTTCTCAGATGGATTTGATGGTTTGGGAGACTCTTTCCCTCAGCAGGCATCATCGGCCCAGACGAATGCCTCCATGAACCATGACCACCAGGGGAACCGGCCGTACCACCAGGGCATTATGGCCCAGGCACCGGGACAGCCAAAAATGGGCCAGATGTTCGACCATGGCTCCTATGGTGGCTATGATCAGACCGGTGCTCCCCCGGGGCGGATGATGGCTCAGAATGGTCCGAGTCAGGGCCCAACAAATGTCAACCCAGCCATGAATGGTATGGCGTCCCACTACCACAACAACCCTGCAAACTCTACCAACCCCCACCTTGGAGGGTATTCCGGTGATGCAGGGGCAGCTGGAGGGGGCTGGGCACAGCAGCAGAACAGGTCGCCCTATCCACAGCCTCCCTCGCAGGGTACTCCTAACCAGATGGGGGGCTACCAAATGCCTCAGGGCAACTACAGTGGGATGCAGGGCCCTCCAGGGTCTAATGCAGCCCGCATGAACCAACACTACTCCTCTCCGAGCATTGCCCCCGCCTCTGCTCAGGACCCAGCACACTACTTGGGACATGTGGGGATGAGCGGACCCCAAATAAGACATCCTCATGCACCACAGCAGCAAGGACAAGCCTTTTCCAATATGGGCCACACACCTAGATACCCCCACTCCCCCTCTCGTCAGCCCCCACACACTCACCCACTTCCCCAGCAAGGTATGGGGAATTATGCTGGTGGCCAGTACCCTGGATATCAAGGCCAGTATGGCGCTATTGGACCTGGAATGAATCAAGGGGCTAACTCTAATGTTGGTCCAAATGGCCAGGGCATGGGACAGAGGTTTCCTCAGGGCTCTGGCCCTGCGCCTGTACAGCCGGGACAGAGGTATCCCCCTGGAGCCCCACACCAGTCCCTTCCTGCCTCTTTGCAGCAGGCAGGACAACAGGGCCAGCCTATGCACACCCTCAACCATACCCAGAACCAGGCCCAGAATCACCTTGCCCCTCCAACTCAGGGATCGTACCCGCCTCCTTCCTCGTTGTCACCCATGCAGGGTTTGGGCACCCCAACTCCACCACCCCAGGGGAGACCTCCCAGTGCAGGACTAGTTGCACCCTCAGAAGTCTCCGGATATAACTCCATGCATTCACCACCTCACGCAATGTCCCATCAACAGAGACCGCCGCAGGCTCCCATGTCTGCAACACACCCCCAGCACCAGCAGCCGCACCTTCCCCCCAATGCAGCACAGATGTACCCAATGGGCCCAAACAGACACCCCATCCCACCACAATGCTCTGGTCAGTTTTATGTTTATTATGCAGCACTGTTACAGCTTCTGCACCTGTTTGAACTTACCCATTTACCTATTCACCTATTGATGCACTGAAGTAATCTGACTCTTTGAACTAAAGTAGAGTAGACCAAAAGTATTTATGTTGAAAAATATCACCATTTTTGTCTCATGTGTGATTCTCATCATTAAGTATCTATATTGTATAAAATGTAACACTATATTGTGATATTTATTGTATCATGAGGCATTGTGTGTTGTATAGTGATGGGCGAGGGACATCGCCAACTCTAAAGACGGCCATTGTTTTTGGAGAGTAACTTAAAAGTCTTCAGCAAATAGTTTGTTTGCAATATCTAATATCACATTTTCTGAGAAAGGACTAACTCAGAACTCGCACTTTAAAAAACAAACTCTAAGAAAACTACTGTTATAAAAGTTTATTCATGTACAGACCTACATAAGTCTATAAAAAATTTGGTTAGGTATTCATGCACAGATTTCTCTATGCGTTCCGATGGTCTCTGTGGGATTCCTGTCAGGTTTTTTGCAAGAAACCAATTTAATCATTTTAATAGTATGTGTGCATAACATTGAATGTTGAAAATCTGTTTATTCCAATAGGGATTTCTCAAAAAGTTGCATAGACCAATCCATTCACGAGTTATTGGCAAATTAAGCCTCAAATATGGATAATTTCAGTATAGAACACTAAAGACACTTTTTCCAATCTGACCAAAGTACTTTTAAGATATCATTTAACTTGGTTATGTTCTTGTTTTCCATACTTATCCTAAATGCGGTCTGACAGAGTTGTCCTTTTCCGCCTTCAGGTCCGCATGAAGCCCCAGTGGGTCAGGGGGGGGACCAGCGCCTGCTTCAATCCCAGCAGCAGGCATCTCGAAACGGACAGCCTATGCCTCCCACTCCAATGGGTTTCCAGGGCCCTGCTGTGGGTCAGCACGGAGCTCAAGGCCCAAATCAGAACACACATCCTCTGCACCAACACCTGCCCCCCCACCAGGCTGCACATCCCTGGGCACCTGCTTCTCACCCACTCTCCTCGCCCCCCCTCACCCCACAAAAAGTGCCTCACATTCAGGTGAGTTGCACAATATCACTATCCATGTGGCAGTTTTGTTTTTGTGTGTGGGTGTTTTTAATAGGAATGTTTATTTTTCATGTGGGTGGGGAATGGTGTGTGAGCAGAGAGGAAGTGAGCGCTGTGTGTGTACATGACATTTGAGAACACAGCAGTGCACCGGACTTGGGGGTCTGTTCAACAAAAGCTAGAGCTATAGTGTGTCAGTCAGTGCCACCTGCTAACAATCTGTCCAACAACCAAGCAATATTAAAATTATTTCACTGTAAATGTTCTAATAAAATATCATAATTACTAAACCATCACGTTTAGAGACTAAAAACATTTGACTAAATGCACTCCTCTGGGCGGTCTGACCCCCATTTTTGGAACCACTGATCCAGTCTAGTTCTCTAGGAAATCTTGGTGTTTAGATTTGTCTTTTTGGCTGCATCCCTCACTGTTGTCCTCTTCCCGTTCTTTGGTAATGGTGCGCGTGTGTTTCTGTAAAGAGGGGAAATGGATTTTTGCAGCTGTTTGTTTCCTGTGAGCTCCATATCCTGACACACGTGCACTCACACAAACTATGGCGCCACTAGCATAATCCCCCCTCCTTCCTGCTCCCACATGTCCCCTCCTCTCTTCAGGAAACCTCTTTTCCTGTCCTCCCCTGTTTCGTCTCCTTTTTTTTTTATCCCTCAACAAAAAATCAGTCGGAACTTTTGAAAAAAATGCTCAAGCTATGCCCTATGTGGTCAGAATCTTCACACAAGGCCATTCCCCTTTTGATTTGAAGTTCAAGGCTTGTTTGGCTTGTCCATGAAAGGGTTTGAGACAGTTGGATATTTTTGGCACATCACTGCTTCCTAGTTTAGCCGGATGCGAGATATTATTGAAAGAGGAATTGTTGCATAGTGGGGGAGAGGTTTGTAGCTGGATGGTTAGAAGATTGGGGGATGGGTGCTGCTGTTAGAAGTAGGAAAACAAGAAAAAGGACTCCAAGGATGTTGTCTGGGATTTGGCCTTTTGGGAGGAGGAAGGGAGCAAGGACATTAGCAGCTCTCGGTGGCATCTTTGTCGCCAGGCCAGTCACGTGTCCCAGCCATCCATTAGCTTGTTTTGTTGCTCAAAGCCCCCTTTCTCCACTGACCCATCCACACAATAGCAGCCCTGTGGCCACATCCACTGATCTAGTCCCACTTTCTCCCTCTGTATTGCGCTCCTCTTGGCAGTCTCCGCCCCAAAGGCCCCACCTCCAACCCAATGCCGGTTTTTGTGGTTGACATTTCAGCCGTCACACCTAATTTATCCAGCACTCCTGACCTAGATGCCAGGTCTGACTGGTAAGCGCTTTCCTCGACTGGGTGTGCTGCCTACAGTGGCCCCTGTTATTATACACACGCACTGTGGTCTGGGATAGTGAGGCCTGGAGACGGATGACAAACGCGCCGGAGGAAATGGGATAGCCCGGCTGCAGGGGAGAAGCGTGTGTGGGCAAAGGAGTTCTCTCTAGAAACACTACAATGAAAAGGAAAATGTGGAAGATTTGATAACTGGAACATGGATTGTTATGTTCAGATGAAGGTGTTGATCTTCCATCTGAAAAGTTCTTCCTACAGCTGTAGAGGGCGTACAAACATTTGATTCATGTTTTCCATTTAGTAGTCAAACTAAGTGTTTTTAGTGTACAGGGTTATCCTAGCTATGCACTTGTTAGAGACACATCGTGGTCATTCACTCATGACTGTATGTCTGGTACTCTAAGCTCCATCTGTTCACTAAGGATGGTTATTACACGCGCACCCCTCACGTGCACACTCTCATGCATCCTCATGTGCACGCCCTCAGCAGCAGCTCAAGGTCACTGCTCCTGCAGAGTGCTGTGTGTCGACCTTTATTCCATATCCCTCTCTCACGCTGTGTTGCGTGCAGCACTGTATTTGACATATAGCATGGCTGTCTCGCCCCTCCCCCAGTCATGCACGCTGTCAGGGTGCTGCGATAGCTTCTAGGAAATACTCCATTTTGCATAATTTAGTGCAGTTTGTGTACACGCTGGTGGAAGTAATGAGAACATATTTATATACAGAAAAATGTGCAGCCAGTCTTCAATCTTGTCAAGTTTCTTGACAAACCTCTTCCATTTTTTTCTTCAATTACAAGTCTTAACTCCAGTTTGGCAAACTGTTGTTAAAGGATTTTTCATTTATTGCAGTTTTGTCCGGAAAGCGCAATAACACTAGTGTGGACATGTGGATCCAAGAAACTGATTCGCCAGAAACACCTTAAACTAGCCACTAAAATTTGAAATGGATAAAAAAAATACTGGAATCCACTGAAACATGCTTTGTTGATCACTCGGCTTTAAACAAAACTTTTTGTTTACAATTACTATGCTGACCATATATCACAGCCGCCATGAAAAGTAAACCAGTATTGTAAGTTTTCCATTTCAAGTTGATTAATTTTATGATTATTAAACTTGATTCTAAATAGTTATAATCTAAATAGAAATGGTTAACCAGAACATTTTTGTAATCATCTGAGGACTTGATAGATTCACATTGTGCCATGAGGAGGCGAGTTGATGATGATCTGGAGAGAACTGGAGAAGGATGAATGGATGGCCGGACAGCGCTGAGAGGAGGAACGGTGGGATTTCCTTTCAGTGGATCCTGTGGGAGGTTTGAGTGTTTGAGCCGCTACATTTAACTCTGCATCTCCACACATTTCCTTCTCACTTTACTCTGTACACCGGCTCCCTTATTTGGTCTGAAAACGTTAATTAAACTTTGGAAAAGTCTGCTACAGGGATAAAAAGTGTACATTTAAATTCACATGAGCAGTAGCCTCATAACTGAGACAAATTTCTTTGATGTAATACTGTGAAACATTTTAGGAATTTACATTGCCCTCTGAACTTTTCCACTAATTTGTGAGAAGACTAAAGGTGCTTTCACACCGCCGAAGCTGGAACGCTGATGCCTCGTGCACCAGACGCACATTCTCTAATTTTCAGACGCAGGGGTGTTCAGACCAGAAGTCATGGCCTGTGGTGGCGCGCGCCGGAAGTGGCAGACATAGCGGGCGGACTTTGATGCTAACGGAGTTAAGCTAGCAGCTTTTTGTGTAATGTTCTTCTCCAATAAGGCAGCTCTGCAGCGTCTGTGTCCAGAGACCTTCCACAGACTTTATTCAACAGTAGTATGTGTTCACGGAGGTGCGCCATACGTTCATTTTATTATTAAACGGTATTTCCGCATTGGCGAACACGCTCGAAGTGGTTGCATAAAGTCACGGGAGCATGAAAACGCACAATGTTCATAAGCACTATATCCCCCATTGTCAACCCTTAGTCCTGGGGTTAGCTCCTGTTTTGGCTGTTTGAGTATTTTCAGTCTGCTTGCTCAGACCACTAATGTCCCCGTGACCACTTTTGGTGCTCTGATTGGTCGCTGCATGAGCGTCCCGAGGAAACGCTCACCAATATTTATCTCCCGCGTGCTGCGATTTTACGCTCCTGCGCCTCTGGGTTGTGGCTGCATCTACCTTTTTCTTGTGTTAAAATGGGAAGAATTTCTCCACATGACGGAGTAAACCAGGAACCTCCTATGCAAATAGCAGGTCCCCTCACACGTTTTTTAAATTTAATCCCAAAAATGAAAGTTGTAACCAAGTGCAACGCTTGAGTCATACTGCAGAAATCACTTTTGTTTTTTGTTTTATTAAATAGGAATCATACCTGTAGGTCAACTGTTTTTTCTGGATCGATACCATAGACTGTAAATATTAACGGACGTAGTCACGCCTATCTCCGCTGTTCAAACAAATGGGCCAAAAATAGTGCTCTACTGGAGCTATCCAAAATGGCAGCGAGTTTTTTAATACAAACTCCACTTTTTTTTTTTACTAAAATGGAAAAAATGGTAATCGATGCTTTATTTTATCAAAATGAAATGACCTTAAAATGAAGTTATTTTTAAGAGATAAGCCAAACTAGTTAGAAAACAAGACTAATTGTTACGTTAGTAGTTCACAAAATGATAATACAATTTTGAAAGCACTGTGTCTTGAGCTTATGCCGATTGCCATTTGAATCATTTAGAACTCTAAAACATGGTCCCAAAATTAAGAGCTCATTAATGATGGTGTACAATAAAAAACAACCTTATGACAATTCTGGAAGCAGTTTTCAGCTTCTTCCTTTGGATTCTGCAATATCAATACACCTGGTTTTCATTGTGGATGGTTATACTGGGTCGACACCAGTGCTCTCTCCGATTTTGTGTGCGTGCATGATTGTTTGTGTACACATCGTGTGGGTCTCTATTGTCATTCGTGTGATTGATTATCTCGGAAGCTTGGCAGGAGGACAGATTTATCTCCTGGCACCGCATCACCCCCATCTCTCTCCCCCCTTCAATAATGGTCTCTCACTCCCAAGCCACCTCCATCTCCCCCAATGCTGTTTAAATGGCTCGGTTTACGTGTGTGTCAGCAGGTGTTGTGTGCATGTGTGTGACCTTGCGGTAGCTTGCTATAACGTGTTCTATATTTGCATTAGCATTAGCTTGCTGGAAGTGAGGTAATGGAGCAGTGTGCTGATAGACTACAGTTAGCGCTCTTTTGGCCTCTTGTAGTTGGGGGACTGTTTATGGAGCCAGATTTGATGCCCATATTTGGAGAAAGGTTTGCATTTGGGATGCAGGAAGCCTGATTGTCCCAGAGTTGGCTGTTGCTATTCATTTCAGGGGCTCAATGGAAACAATGTTGGTTTATTTAAACATTTTGTCCGTGGACAATATGACAAGAATTCATAATTTTCTTGGGTCACAATTCTATTCTAAATCTGTTCTCGCCATTATCATTGAACATGGAGAACCTGGTTCTGGGAGTTTCTTCCCATATGCCATGTTTCAACCACCAATTTCCAATTTTGCTCTGATCAATTATCCAGCCCTAGTACAGCCTTGACATGGAAACCTGCTCAATGAGTATCTCATAAAAGTTTTAGAATGGGTTTCATCAAGGGTGTGGGGACATGTCCCCAGCTATATTTTTGGGAGGGCTTAAATGTCCTCACCAAATATAAGATGTTCCTATCCAAATCCACTGTCTCCAGTTTATTCATACGCCACGCCTCCTCCTCCTCGCTTCCAGAGCAGCAGCAGCTCATCTCTGCGCAGTGATTTTCTTCGCTTGTAAGCGGCGCTCATACGTGCACATGTTGATAACAAAGCAAGGCGCCAAAGTTTGCGAATAGCAAGTTGTTTACCTTCTAAAAGTAAAGTCCAACTCTCATCGCTTTCTGAAAAGCATTCTGTGAAGCCAGTGTCAATAAATGCGCTATGTTTTCTGCGTCGTAAAATGTGAGTCCTAGTGGTAAGGACAGGAGACCTGCAAGTTTTTATTTTTTTATTTGTGTCCTTACTGAAGCTGCAACCAAACCTACACCATTGGGTTTCATATCTGATTTTTGTTATTGTATATTGTATTGTTGTTGTATACTGTTCTATCACACCATACAGTCATTCTTATATTTGTTTTTTTTCCCTAAATTTAACTCTTAAGACCTTCATGTTTAGATTACTTCTGTTTTCTACTGGCCCTTGACACATTCACTTCAGTGCAGTATTTTGAAGCGTTACTAAACCTATAAGCACAGATACAGTAGCTGCTGTGGTGGCGTTTTGCTGTAAATTTGCTGATGTGCACAAGCCCCTCATTCATACAGGCTCGTGCACGTTCGCTTGCTCTCAAAGGCATATTCCTCTGCTCTCTCCGACACACACTTTGCCTCTCTGGCGCTGCCTTTTTGAAGTATGGAGATAATTTATTCGTGTCATGATGCCTGATTTCCCATCTGCTGCTGGGACCCTGAGCAGCTGGAGAGAAGGAAGTAGGCAGAGAAGGAGGGCTGCGCAAGAGAGCAGGGCAGCTGCATAGGCTCTAAACAGCTGGCAACCAGTTTCCTGTCACTGGGAGCAAACTTGAGAGCAATGAGCGCAGGAGACGACTGCAAGGTTTAGTGTGCACAAGAGCAAAAGACTAGGAAAAATGAGGTGTCAGCCAGTTTGTTTACCAAGGTTAGCCTGCTGGAGGGGCAAGGAAACTGAATCGGTGGGGAGTTGGAAGAAAGTGTGTGTGTGTGTGTGTGTGTGTGTGTGCGCACGCGCGCTCATGTGCGTGTGTGTGTGCATGGATGGATGTCTCCTCTGAGCTCTGGAGTCTGGCATCACCCCCTCAGTCTGCGGCAAATATAGCATTATTGACTGACAGGCTGTAGCCGAGCCCATGGCACATTAGCAGACGGGTTTCACAGCACATGTGCTCCACATTACAGGGGCCATATTTGATTTTCTTAGACACTCTTTACTGGGGGTCATTTGCACATAAGGAGGGATGGAGAAGGTGTCGTTACACTATACAGATGATTTGGCCAACCAATGTTTTTCAATCGTGGCAGGATTTCTTAGATCTTAGAGTGTCAACCTTCAGTCTCTACCATATGTAAATATCATGCTTTGGTTCACAACATCAGAGTATAATGCTTTCTGTAAAAGTTATGTTTTGCAAATTATACATCCACTGGCCTATATTTGGGATGTGCCAAAATATTGTATGTGTGTTAGTTTGGTCAAACAATTTGAAATATTAAATCATGATTAATCACATTAATTTCATAGTTAACATTTTGAGTTTTAATGTATGTAAATTGTATATTGACAGAGCTGAAATTGGCTGGATGATATTTTTAGGAGTGGGCGATATATATCTTAAACGTAAACGATGAAAAATGTCTTCTTTTTTACATATTTCCAATACATATTACAATTAGAGCAGGCAAGATGCCCATTCGTCAAATGCGTGCCTAAAAAGCCAATCACTGCTTTATTTGTACATTTCAGTAAATATTGAGTAAACCTCTTTGGATGTGTTCTTCCTGTGTTACTTAAATTTGAGTTTTAATGTAAAGATAGGTTTTTGCTTGTTTTGGAAAGATGTGTGAAGCACTTAATTTCACTCATATTATTCAAAGGCATCACAAGAATTAAGGATATTAAGACTGCTCAACTCAAATGTCACATTTATTATGGCCTACACAGTAACTGAAGTGCAAAAACTTAGGAGGGTCGTGCAAAAACTGTATCCTTGAACATTGAGGACATACTCATTCTCTAAGTAGGTGACCTCACATGAATGGTGAGCTCCCAGCCTATAACTTCTGAAACAGATCATTATTGTAACTAAATATCACAATACTTACAGAACAGAATTATTTTCTTTTGTTTTCACCACTAGCAAACTTTCTCTCTGCTTTGGACTTGGCATAACCTTTGGGTGACTTTTTGCATTTCTAAATGTTTTAAATGTTTACCTATTTGATTAATATTTCCTGGTTTGATAAACTGGTTGGATCTATGATAAATGTGAGAGTTTGAATCTGTTTTTGTTTCATAGTTTCATAGGAGCTCTAACTGTTTCCTCTCTTGTCTCTCCTGCAGCATTCCCCCTCAGACCTGTCAGGAGAAGGCTCGGTGATGCTCCCTGACAGGCTGACCACCTCTGGCCAAAATACCAGCACAGAGCAGCCCTGCGACCCGGAGACTAAGCCAAAAAAGAAAAAGAAAAAGAAAGCTAAAGTTCTCGACGCAGAGGATGAAGAGGAGCTGAAGAACACTTCGGTTGATGGAGGAGAGGATAGGAAGTCCGATTTTCCCGCCACAGGAAGTGATAAAGGGGAACTAGGAACTGTAGAGGGAATTTTGCCGGTGCAGGAGAAGAAAAAGAGGAAAAGGAAACCAAAGGACAAGGCAGAGGACGCTGAGGGTAAGGAGCCTAAAGAACCCAAGACCCCAAAAACGCCCAAAGCGCCTAGAACGCCCAAGACCCCCAAAGAACCGAAAGAGCCCAAGGAGAAGAAAGTGAAGGTCTCTACTCCCAAGGCCAAAACGCCCAAGAAAACCAGGTACAATCACACACAGCAATTTGGTTTATTGTAATGAAAGTACAGTAAAGTAGCAGTGTAGCTACATTCAAAGATTGACTTAAGATATATTTGTCAGTGCCGCCGCACACCCTTACAAATACAAACTGCCTGCTTTATAAATCAACCAAAGAAGTTGCATTCAGAGTAGAAAAAATGGTTTTGTTTTGGTTGTCCAAATAGTTCATAGTTAGAAAGAAAACCTCATGAGTAGTGCAATTACAAAAAAATAACCAGACAAATAAGTGAAGTAGAATTATTGTCAAAAGTTGATTTGAAGTGATAACTCAATCTATTCCAACCTTTTTCTGCGTTAAACCACTTTCATTTAGTTGACCAGTTTTCTAATACAATACCCTTTGGTTTTGTAAACCAGAGAGGGAAACATTCTGGCTGTGTATTGTCATCAGTATTAGTGGGATGAACTAAACTTTTCTACTGCTTTTACAACGATGTTGGTTAGTCCCACATATGTTACCCCGGTCTCCAGTGGCTCCTAAGCAGACGGTGAGCATGTTGCTGTACACATTAGTCATGTGACAAACCGGGGGGAACCACAGGTCAGGTCCCCTGGGTCACGTCTCACCTGCCATTGGACTACTCTCATCCTTCATGTCCCACTGTGGCGTAGAGTTGCTTTAGTTGTAGATAGATGGATGTATACAATCTTTAGTTCCATTAAAGTTGTAATGGTACTACATTACGAAGCCGGGAGCCCACGTCTGTCTTGTTCAAATTGTAGGCAACCATTTTAATAGTTATTATTTACGGGTTATGTTATGGATTACTGTTCATAACCTCTGTCCAGGGGGTCAAGAGATCACTGCCAATTGTCTCTTTGAGACAAATTACTGTGTAGACTTCAGCCCCTCATATTCATGGTACATTTTGGTGAGCATTATTGTGTATTGGCTCTGTACAGTTTTGAAGGTATAAGGTCTAGAAAAGGTTTTTGAAGGTATAAGGTCTAGAAAAGAACCAACCTCTCTTGCACATGCGCAACGCTCTACCTGCTCCGGAAAGGGAATGGGCTATGTGTGCGAGAGACATCCACTAGCCCAGTTCTCGTCGCGCACGCTCTGTTTACAAGTCACTGTCGGCATCACTCAAGCTCACTTTCCAAGAAGATTTTCACTTTTTCCATTCTCAGACAATATAGACGTAGGTAACTTTTACTGGAATGTATTTCTCCAAATGGAATGCCAAACTTTACATGTCGAGTAGAAACTTTGCAACTGAAGCACTAGTGGTAAGCCCAACCTGGGCTTCCAGTGCACGCCATTGTGTTATGGTGCTTTCAGACCGCCAACGCTGAAACGCGGAAGCCCCGCTCACCAGACGCGCATTCTCTAGTTTTCAGACGCAGAGGACTTCACACCAGAACGTCCTGACGCGAACCGGAAGTAGCCAGCCGGCTCTAATGCTAACAGAGCTTCTTGTGTACAGATCTTCTCCAATATTCAGCTTTGCAGCGTGTCTTTGAACAGAGACTTTCCACGGGCTTTATATAACAGTAGTATGTGTTCAGAGGTGCGCCGTGTTTTTTCATATTATTAAATGGAATTTCCGCATCGGCGAACACACTCGAAGTAGTTGCATAAGGTCACGGGAGCATGACGCATATATTCACAAGCAGAGTCCCCCATCGTCAACACTGGTTTGAGTTCTGGTGAAGCCTGGTGTGGGTCCTGTTTTGGCTGTTTACGAGTATTTTCAGTCTGCTCGCTCAGTCCGCTAATGTCCCCGTGACCACTTTGCTGCTCTCTGATTGGTTGTCGCACGAACGTCCCAAGGAAAGGATGAGCAGAATCCATCTCCTGTGGGCGTCGATTTTTCGCTCCTGCTCCTCCCTTTTCACTTTCCCGCCAAGTCCATGCGTCATTATTGAACAGTCCGTTTGTGCGTGCCGAGAGGTCCATGCGTTGTGACGGTCGAACGCGCGCCACCATAGACTTTGCATTGAAACCCGACGCAACGCATGATCCGGTCTGAAAGCACCATTAAAGAATCTCCCAAAAACACATGACTAACACATATGATGTCACACATATCACCAGAATGAAGTGTCTACATTCCACCCTGACTGTCAACCCTTTAATTACAATGTGTCAATTTTGAACTGAAGGTGGTTGTACTTTGGCGCCATTTTAAATATTTAAATAATGATGTAATAATTCACAAGCTAACTTATACCTGCAACAGTTGACCGTTGCTAACTTTGAAGTGAAGTTTCCACAGCCGTGGGGATATATTTATACATTTATGGTTTTTCATAGATGTTCTTCAGTTGCGTGAGTCTCTAGCTTTTGATTTTTGGCTCTAACTGCCATTACTGTTGTGGCTCATTAAGTGTGTGCTAATTGTAATCATCTGTTTCTGATTAAGACGACTAAAATAAGACTAGACAGCTGCACATTAGGCCCAGCACATCGGAGGCAATGTAACAAATGCAAGACCCGTATAATTACTTCCTAATTTTATAAAGCACTAGCTATCGAGCGGCTGTGGTGGATTATTTTCTTTTATAGATAAGTATGCATTTGATTTCCCCTTTGAGACTTTCATTAATGCATGTTAATGGATGTTATGATACAGGCCTGTGCAGGGACAAAATAGATGCCTCATTTTCTTTTAGTCACAGTCACAATCATTTAAAAGTTGATAAGTGATAACTTTTAGGGTTAGGAAAATGTTAGGTGTTACAATTCTAAAAGTTCAAATTAGCTTGAAAAATTACTCAATCACTGCTCAATATCACCATGGTGATATTAGAACAAATTAAACATCCTATTTCTGCAATACCTACTTAATAGATACCAAGGACAATTCTCTGCCAATTCAAGGAGAAAAAACATGGCACAATAAGTAAAGTTTTACTTTTACCAATTGTTTTTTCTCCTATTTTTCCCCTATTTCTGAATTCACAGCACTTTTACAGTTTGGATAAAATGCTCTGATCAGAAATGATCATTCTCATTTTTAAAGGAGCAATATGTAATATTTGCATGTCAAGTCATCATTAAATGACCCGAATATTTCAAAAGGCGTTATTAAATCATACTCTTTTCGAATTCATCTTTAACTGATAACAGTAGTTCAGCCGAGATATTTGATTATCAAAATTAGTTTTACGACCCGTAAAAGTTGTTATTGTTTTGATTTTGATGTCCTACCCTCCGCCGTTTCGCCAATCAGGAAGTGTCATGTAAGTCCGTGATTGGGTTGCCAGAACTCCGCGCGGCTCATTAATCTCAGAGGTAAAATAACATGTGGCGCAGAACTAAAAAAGGTCTTATTATGACTCTCAAATCATTAATGACAAAACAAAGACTAAAACGAGGATTTATATCGGGATGCCTTTGAACAATTGAGACAGCTGATAAAAGTTCACGTGTGATGCAGAATTTTCTAGTTTGAGTCCGTTCTTCACAGTGTCTCTATTCGTGTCAATCGGTGGTCTAGTGGTCTAAACTGTGCGCTTACGATGCAGGAACCCGGGTTCGATCCCGGGCTATGTCTTTTTGTATTTATTGCATGTTATCACATTCTATGACAGATTGCTCTAAAAACGGTAAAAGATGAAGGTCAAGACGTTTTTTTACAGATTATAGCTTAATTGTAAAAATAATCATTTAAGACCACATGTACCCCAATTAAAATAATGTTAGTCTCTTTTTGATGTGGGACTTTTACATGTTTGTCTAAAAAATAGGGAATAAATAAATTTGAAAGGTGATATCCTCTTGAGCAAACCCTGATGTTGATACGCTGAAGAAATATGTTCCAACATCCATTCTTCCCACTCCTATTTTGGACATCAATTGCTTATTTATTTTGCATAAACTATGTATATTGGCAGAGTTGAAGGTTGAAGGCTTTTTTTTTTTTTCACACTGCTGTAGGGCTGGGCAATAAATTGAATTTAGGCAATACATTTTTGAAATGTGAAAATCGTGAAATCGAATGAATCCAACTATAGCGTTTTACTGCCGCATTGTCTCCGTATGAACAGGGCCTTAAGATCCAGCCTGCAGAGTGGGACAGCTCAGATACGCTGCTCAGCGGGGCTCTCTTTCACACCCGCGTGAGGGGGAAAAACGTGTGAATTATTTGCCTGATCTGACCTCCACGCTGCTCCCCGCACATGAATTTGGACATGTGCAGTAGCAGAGAACAAACGTAAACGACAATGGTGGCGGGTACACTGACAAGCTATGTGTGCTTCGAGCGCTACACGGAAGAGGATTCTACTAATTTTTTTCGTCCAAACGAAACTACACGAAGCTGTAGTGAAGAGGATGTGCCAAGTCTGGATTGGAGGCATGGAGACCTCCAATCAGCAGCTTCCACGGTGCCATGTAGCTTGGCCTTCAGATAGACAAAACAATGGAAAAGTACTGGCTTCTGCACATTGATAGAATGATGAGTTTAACTTTAACAAAAGTTGCTTAAAAGTGTTATGAAATCTCACAGTAGTTTCAGTTTCCATTTTCACAGCTGCTGTTAAAATGCAGAATGATGTTGGTGCTTTCTTTCACGTCTTGCAGAGAAAGTGAGGCCCCGTCCCAGTACCCACACTGCACCCTACACACCTCTACGAAGTGTGCATTTGTTCGAAGTGCACACCAGGGTTGGAGTGCGCTGGTTACAAGTGTGCTAAAAAGGCAGAATTGGGACAGTGCACACTGAGAGAAGGTTACGTCATCGACTCGTCAAGAGATGGTCATTTTCAGACCTAAACTTTATAAACATTAAAGGTAATTTTGTCTGACCCTTTGGGAAACAAAATAAATTGCTCCACACACGTTAAAATACATGTATATTAGTTGTTTTTAATTAGAGATAGCTGTATAATTTTAAGTTAAATGTGGGTAACTAACTATCTGGTCAGTTTTTATACATTCTAAGATTATTGTACTAAGTGTAAAGTTTAAATTGAATGTTATATAAACGCTTGCTTTAAAAAGTTATTAAATTGTTAA